GTTTAGGCGAGCTGTTCTTCATTAATCACTTTAAATGTAGCCTGAAGAAGAAATATCAAAGTGTGTTTGAAGGAATTGCTCAGCAAGGAGCCTCCACACTTCTGAATAACATCTACACAGATGTCTACATCACTCAGGGTGCGAGTGAACAGGTCAACACTGAACATGAGATCAGACAGATTGAAGCTGCTTCCAGACGTCATCAGTCACTAGAGATACAGGTTAAATGCAAACATTTGTTTAAAGCAGCTGAACAAGACGAGCAGATCAGAACTGTCCTGACAAAAGGAGTTGCTGGCATCGGGAAATCAGTCTCTGTGCAAAAGTTTGTTCTGGATTGGGCTGAAGGAAAAGAAAATCAAGACATCAGCTTCATATTTCCTCTTCCATTCAGAGAGATGAACTTAAAGGAGAAAGAAAGACAAAGTTTAAAAGACCTCATAACTCAGTTTTTCCCAGAGACTAAAGGACTGAACCTTACACGAAGCACACGATTCAAAGTCCTGTTCATCCTTGATGGATTGGATGAATGTCGTCTTCCTCTAAACTTTGCTGGTAATGAGACGTGTCGTGATGTATCTTCAGCAGTCTCTCTGGATGTCCTCCTGACGAACCTCATCAAGGGAAATCTGCTTCCTTCTGCTCTCATCTGGATCACCAGCAGACCAGCAGCTGCCAGTAAGATTCCTGCTGACTGTATCGACCGGCTGACAGAGATACGAGGATTCAATGATGCCCAAAAGGAGGAGTACTTCAGAAAGAGACTCACAGATCAGAATCAGGCCACAGAAATCATTGATCACATTAAACAGTCAAAGAGTCTCTTTATTATGTGCCACATCCCAGTCTTCTGCTGGATTTCAGCCACTGTCCTCCAGAACATACTGAAACTGAAACACAGGGCTCATGCTGAAACACTGCAGGAATCTTCCAAGACTCTGACACAGATGTACACACACTTTCTCCGCTTTCAGATCCAGCAGAGCAGAAGAAAGTATGATGGAGAAAACACAGCAGATGTCTCCTGGGATCCAAAGCTCATCCTTTCACTGGGGAAACTGGCCTTCCAGCAGCTGGAAAGAAACAATGTGATCTTCTATGAGAGCGATCTGAAAGACTGTGGCATTGACGTCTATAAGGCATCGGTGTACTCAGGCATGTGTACCCAGATCTTTAAGGAGGAGACGGGAATCATTCTTGGTACCATGTACTGCTTTCTTCACTTGAGCATTCAGGAGTTCATTGCAGCCCTTTATCAACATCTGATTCTAGACAGAGACAAGAAGCATGGATTGTTTTTACAGATAAGCAAAAATAAAGTCATGACAGATTTCCTGAAGACTGCAGTGGACAAGGCTCTGGAAAGTGAGAATGGACATCTGGATCTTTACCTTCGCTTCCTTCTCGGTCTGTCTCTCCAGTGTAATCACCAACTCTTACGAGGCCTGTTGACACAGCAGGATGACAGAGACCAGAGCAAAGAGGAAATAATTGCCTACATCAAGCAGAAACTTGAAGGGAATCTGTCTCCAGAGAGATCCATCAATCTGTTCTACTGTCTGAATGAACTGAACGACCAAACTCTGCTGAAAGAGATTCAGTCTCACCTCAGTAGAGGACGTCTGTCATCTGCTCGCCTTTCACCTGCCCAGTGGTCTGCTCTGGTCTTTGTGTTGTTGACCTCAGAGGAGGAGCTGGAGGAGTTTGAGCTTCAGAAATTCCAGAGATCAGACGAGTGTCTCATCAGACTATCAGCAGTCATCAAAACCTCCAAAAGAGCTCTGTAAGTCAACGTCCTTCTTTAATCTAAGAAGTAGACATTTCCTGAATTTAAATAATACAGTATATTATGTTATTGGTCATGAGATTTAGGTCATGACCGAAAGGACAAGATTTTGGATACAAGCAGCCAAAATGAGTTTGCTTCGCAGGGTTGCAGAGCGCACCCTTATAGACAGGGTCTGGAGCTCTGCCATATGGGAGGAGCTCAGAGTAGAGCCACTGCTCCTCCACATCGACAATTCAATTCATCTTTATTTCTATAGCACTTTAACAATGTAGATTGCGTCAAAGCAGCTTTACATAGAAGATCATAGTACATTGAAACAGTGTCAGTTCAGTTTTGTGTTGAAGTTCAGTTCAGTTCAGTGTGGTTTACTTTTCACTGCTGAGAGTTCAAACACTGAAGAGCAGAAGTCAACTGAGAGGCTTGGGCATCTGTCCCACCGGGAGGAGGTTTCGGCGAAGACCCAGGACACGCTGGAGGGACTATGTCTCTTAGCTGGCCTGGGAATGCCTCAGGATCCACCCGGAGGAGCTGGTGCAAGTGTTTGGGGAGAGGAAAGTCTAGGGTTCTCTCCTAAGACTGCTGCCCCTACGACCCGGCCATGGATAAGCGGATGAAAATAAGAAATGACATGACATCATGTTAATGAACATGAACAATATTGATATCAACTAAACTTCAAAATACATTAATAATTGTTCATTATGTAATGTTTTAGTGCTTTTTAAATAACATTCAGATTCATGTTTTGGCAGTGGTTGTTAAAGGGATAGTTTACCCAAAAAGTGAATTTACTAATTCTTACTCACTCTTTATGTATGTAAACCTTTCTAAAACTTTGTTTTCTCCTGTTGAACATAAAAGAAGATAATTTGAAGAAAGCTGAAACCTGTAACCATTGACTTACACACCAGTTGTTTTTCCTACCATGTAGGTCAATAGCTAATGGTGTTTAGCTGTCATAAAAAGACATTGGGAAGATTGCCAAGGCAGGGACTACTGGACAGTAAACCAGGGCAGATCCTGTGGATCAGGGCTTTTATCTCAAAGGTTTTAGAGAGGATTGTGTCTGTACAGCTGAATGATTTCATGTTTAATAATGTTTTTGATAAATATCAGTCAGTTTAGAGTTGGTCATAGCACAGAGTCCACTCTATAGTGGGTTTTTTAATGATGTCCTGCTGGAGGTTGGTTCAGGTAGCCTTGTTCTTCTTCTATTATTGGATCTCACTGCTGCTTTTGATACAGTGGATCATGACATCCTCATTGATCATCTTAGAAAACACGCTGGTATCCAGGGTCTAGCCTTGAACTGGTTCTCTTCATATCTGAAGTATAGAACTACAACAGTCAGTTTGGGCAACTCTTGTTCTTGTCATTCAGTTAATGTGTGGGGGTTCTGCAGGGCTCGATATTGGGTCCAGTTTTGTTTTCCCTTTCCTTATTTCCATTGGGAATTTTTTTGAAAAGCATGGCATAAATTGCCATCTATATGCTGCTGACTCTCAAATCTACTTCCCCAAAAGATCTGAGGATCAATCCTCCCTTCAGGCTTTGTTAAATTGTTTGGCTGATATGAGAGATTGGAGAACTCAGCTGCCAGGCTTTTAACAGGCACAGAAAAGGAGAGCACATTACACCTGTACTGTTTTTTCTACACTGGCTGCCAATTCAGTACAAAGTACTGCTCTATGTTTTTAAATCCCTCCATGGCCCCTGAGTATATTTCTGAGCTAATTAATATACACCAACCCGTGAGATCTCTTCACACTAAGGATCGACTCTATTTGCAAGTTTCTCGATCACGCTTGATATGTGGAGGTGATAGAGCTTTTTCAGTAGCAGCTTTAAGACTTTGAGCCGATCTTCCACTCTCCTTAAGAACTTCTCCAACTCTTGAGTCTTTTCAGAGGTCAATGAAACACTTATTTTCTTCAGCTTTTACTCGTGTGTTGTGAGCAGATGTATTTGGTTTCTTGTATGTTTGCTTGTATTCTGTGGTTTATGTACAGCACTTTGGTAGCCATTGTGGTTGATTAAAAGTGCTCTAGAAATTAATTGAGTTGATCAGAATAAACAGCAGGAGCACAGAGCTATAGTGGAGCTAGTGAAACCCTCCATGATGATGCGAGCCCACCTTTCTGGAGGTTTCAAACACCTCTAGACTGCCTGGATGTCCTTAAAGGGGGGTCTAGAGTGTGTTTTTAAGGCTTGGTTGTGTTGATAGAATGCAATGCGATGTGTGCTCATGCTTCACTTGTAGAAAATCAGCTTATTTTTCATATATCTGAGTTTGACTATATACAGCTACTCAGCTAACATGAAGAACAATGTCATATGTCTTAGTTCCTCTGAAAGGCCCGTCCTCAAGAGGCTCTGATTGGTCAGCTAATGTATTGTGCTGTGATTTGCAGATCGGCTCCACGTCACCAGGAAAAGTGTCACGGCTCTACAAGCACGCACTTTTGCACTGTGTAAATCCTATCACTCAGAGTAGCTGTTAGCCGTATCAGTGTGAGCCTGAATGAGACAGAAAATTACACAGAGGACACAGCTGAAGCTCACGCCAGCTCTCTAAAATATCATCTGACAAGAATCTGTCACACATATTCAGAATAAGCATGTGTAAGTCATATGAAACATTCTCATATCTTTAGAGTGTTAGTTATCTGAGATGTGGAAGGCAGGGAAAGCGTCCGCATAGAGAGACTCTGCATTTTTTTGCACTGAATTTTTAGCTGAATTGTTAGCAGTGCCAAACAGCATTTCCCGTTGTTGACATCCTTGTTTATGTCCTCGCTACAAGATACCGTTAGCGCTAGAAACTGTGTCCTATGTACTAGAGAAGATTGAAACTGCTGTACTTGAGACAACTGAAATGGTGGACATGGCTGTGTGGCAGGAGGCAATATGGGGGGGGGGGAAGAGTAGGGATTGACAATTTATCCACAAAGCAAATCCGACTACGCCACCTGAGAGGTTTTCTCCCAGGAAATAGAAATTGGCTTAAACCTTACTCTTAGGCCACACAGGTTCAGTTCTCATATGGATAGGCAAGAGACGTGGGTATAGTATAAAAGTACAAAATTTATTTTCAGAATTTGTGGCAGATTAAAATGGTCACATTACATTCTCTGAACATTTTGCCAGCACCTCCCTCCAACACAACTGCAGTAAAATAAAATAAAAAAAGAAAACAACAACGTTATTACAAAGTAAATATGAAAATGAAATTAACCGGGGAAATAAATTGAATAAACTAACTTACAGGGCTGAGGTCACACATGGGGGGGGGGGAATCACCAGTGCTCCGTTGTGTTCAAAAAGCACACTTCCACACACACACACCACACTAGATCCACACACTCCACACTTCCCAAACCGTCCACAGCAAAAATGTCAAGTGCAGTGACACCACCACCACCTCAAGATCCTGCACCCATGGGACCTCAGTTCCTGCAAGGAAAATCAAAATCAATATACGGGATAAATTATACAAGAGTAAAACAAACAACAAACCAAACACAAGAAAAGAAAAACCAAATACAGCTTCTGTAGTTTCGCTATAGAAAAGCAAGATTCACACAGAACACAAAACTCACTCTTTTGCACACCGAATCACACAACCAAACAGAACAAAAATCACAAATTATATAACAGTAGCAATAGGAGATAGTAGTAGCAGGTCGTAGTAACAACAGCAATAAATAGAGCAGGTAACAGTTAGTCGTAGCAGTTAGCAGTAACTGCAACAGTAGAGTAGCAGCAAGCAGATAGTTAGCGGATAGCAGTAGCAGCTAGTAGTAACTGCAGCAGTAAATGTAGCAGCAGCAGATAGTAGTAGCGGGTAGCAGTAGCAGCTAGTAGTAACTGCAGCAGTAAATGTAGCAGCAGCAGATAGTAGAAGCAGGCAGCAGTAGTAAACAACAGGAGTAGTTCTTTCCCCTAGAGATCTCAGGATAGCAGAATCTTTCAAACACAACCGGAGTAATGTTACAGATGCTAGATCTTTATTTATAAATCGCCCAGGACAGAGAGGGAGAATCCTACAAGAGATATGCACATGCAAAAACGGTTACTGTTTGCAAAATCACACGCTAGCATTCCCCTTTAAATCTCTACATAAGAAACTTACCAAGCCGGGAGTAGTACACTCATGTATTACGAATTAGTCATCTCCATTTATGCTACAAGCGAGCTGAATGGGTGGCAGTCATTAACTCCATGGCAACCAACAGGAAAACCAACGAAAAACCAGGCTAAAAATGAAACCACGATGATTAATCCAAACGTTAATCGAAAGAGAGAGAGAGAGAGAGAGACACACAACCGCTAACATACCTGAAACAGATGTCAACAAACGCGGAACAAGAAAGGCGGGGCTGGAGGTGACACATCACCTAACACAGCCAACCGGCTCTAAAATAGGCAGCACTGGCCCCTGATTGGTTGTTATCAACATCAATCACTACCACTTATCCTATACACGGTCACAGCTGGATAAGGCTGAGAAACTGCAGGCAAGATTACAGGGCAGACAGTCCTGATCACTGACATGGAGGAATCTTTAGAAACAAAAACACACAAGCAGCAAACTACAATGAATATATTTATATATATCTTCTTTATTTCTGTCACATATGCATCTTTCACTTTATTCTGAAAAATGCTTTGAGATGCAACTTTTAAGATGCTACAGAAGATTATTGTCATTAGTTTGTTTGTTAAATAATAATAAATTATTTCAAAAATTCCTGTTTTGCAGTGTTAGGTGTTACATAAAGAGTTGGGCTATTGGAACATCTGAATGAAGCCATTTGTGTTTTATAGTGTTACGGTTATTTTAAGATGGAAACGCTAGGGTTAAAACAACATTTAAAAACTTATGACTCTTTATGAATGGTGGCGGCAATGGAGCAGACAAACAACCAAATTATGTTAAAATAAGTGTTTATTTTACAAAGTGGAAAAAAAGATAAAGTATATACAAAATAAAGAAAACAAGAATAAATGGTTGTAATAAAGGGGAGGAGGAACAAAAGTGGCGCCAAAGAAAAGAAAATAATATAACAAAACACAACTCTAACTAGAACCCACAATCTCTATACTATCTAATAAAAGAAAGAGAAAGAAAAGTTTTCACGCCCTATCTAAACTACACTTCTAAACACAAACGTAAACAAAACTCACAATTAGTGGCGCACACTTCTAAACTAGTGTGTATAATACATTGGTATCTCCTACGTGTAGCAACATGTAGGTCACGTGACATCTACCCTGTTCCTCGAATCCCACTGATGTCGTATATCTGGTAATCAGAGAGAAAACACAATTAGAACACTTTTAAAGATCGATTTCAGCACAAATGATTATAACACACATAACACAAGAAACTGTCACATAATCCAGCCATCCAGCAAAACACACAGTCAACCAACATAGCAAACACACAACAGTGAGCAAGCAAAAAGCAAGCTAGCTTTCGACTGCACCGGCTTCCTTTAAAAGTGGGGAAGTCTGCTTGTGATTGGACAATGATGATGTCATCGCAAATGGTAATGATGACTGGCATCTAGCTTGGCCAATAGGCAGATGAGCTGGGCGGACCTAAAGAAAATGATAGGTAGAGAAGGAGGGAGAGAGAAAAAAAATACAAACAAACACAGGCACAGATACTGAGCCGTAACAATATTTTACACAGGCACAGATACTGAGCCGTAACAATAGACATAAATACTATTTAAAGCTAAAATCAGCAGATGTGCTCACTAATTAGTGAAGTTAAACCAGTCACTACAGTCAGATGTGCTTCAGACTATCAAACACACCAGATTAACACATACATATTGTGTTTGTCCTCTACACAGGCTACAGTGCTGTAAACTTACTGTTCGGTCCTGTGAGAGTTTGTCTTCAGTTCTACAATCCTCAAACTGTGTGCTGAGAGAGCTGGACCTGAGTAACAATGACCTGCAGGATTCAGGAGTGAAGAAGCTCTCTGATGGACTGAAGAGTCAACACTGTAAACTAGAAACACTGAGGTCTGAGTTTAAACACCTGATTGATTGATTGATTGATTGATTGATTGATTTTTTGTTTTGTTACATCAGACAGATCACATTAACAGTGTGTTTTTAGTAATGTGTGTTCTTCTTTCTCAGATTGATGACGTGTAAACTCACTGCCGATTCTTGTGAGAGTTTGTCTTCAGCTCTACAATCCTCAAACTGTGTGCTGAGAGAGCTGGACCTGAGTAACAATGACCTGCCGGATTCAGGAGTGAAGCTTCTCTCTGATGGACTGAAGAGTCAACACTGTACACTGGAGACACTGAGGTCTGAGTTTAAACACCTGCTTGATTGATTGATTGATTGATTTTTTGTTTTGTTTTGACTGATCACATTAACAGTGTGGTTTTTAGTAATGTGTGTTCTTCTTTCTCAGATTGGCCACGTGTAATCTCACTGTTCAGTGTTGTGAGAGTTTGTCTTCAGCTCTAAAATCCTCGAACTGTGTGCTGAGAGAGCTGGACCTGAGTAACAATGACCTGCAGGATTCAGGAGTGAAGCTTCTCTCTGATGGACTGAAGAGTCAACACTGTAAACTGGACACACTGAGGTAAATGATTCTCCACTCTACAATAACTACAGTCAGACAGTTTCATATTAGAGCTCTTCATGCTTGAACATGTTGACTCTGGGTGATACTAAACCCCAGATAACAGGAATTATAGTTTATCAGTAATTGTGTTTCACACTGCTCATACTATACCTGTAGTTAACCCTCAGGAGTCTGAGGTGATTTTGGGACCCCTGAGATGTTTTGACATGCCCTGATTCAGCTACTTATTACTCAGAACTGTGTTTCATTTGTGTTCAGCACAAACTGAGCTACAATAATATGTGAGAAATATTGATGTACATGCTTGTGTTTTTTTTTCTAAATAAATATTATGTGTGGTTAGTAGGTTTTGGAGAAACAAATGTAGCTGAAATAAGATCCATAAACCAGACTGAATGTGCCTGAAGCGTTTAGAGTAAGCAGTCTTGTAGACTAGAATATTTACTGCACAATTATGTGAAAATTATCCTGTTCTCTCATTCAGAGAAAACATTACAATGATCTACATATTGTTAAGGTTGTTTTGGGTGATCTCAGCTGTATGTGTGAGTGACAATGCTCATGAATAATTCACACCTGAGAGACAACAGACACTCCCCCACTCCCCCACAGTGTACAGCAATGTCCATCTGCAGAAGCTAGCCCAAACTCAATGCTTGTTGTATTACTGCTGTTTGACCATGTAAACACTCTGGGTGAACAATATACAGTGCTCAGCATATATAAGTACACCCCTCACTGATCTCTCTTTTACATTCATATTTTAATAGGAAGCTCTAAAGTATTATATTTGTGCATATACAATAGATTAGCCAAATCTGGAGCTCATCTAACAAAATAACTTATGATAACGGTCCAAAAACAAATACAACCAAATCTATGTGTTATAGAAAAATATTAAATACAAATTTAAAAATCAAGAGAAGCAAAACATTTACAGATTTAGTGTAAAAACTAGCACCCTCAAATGTATGTGTTATAGAAAAAATATTAAATACAAATAAAAAAAGAGGAAAAATTAAGAGAAGCAAAACAATGGAAAGATTCAGCTGAAATTTTGTAGGGTTTTTGCAATATTTAGCTTGAATTTAATTGTATTATCTTTCAATTTTGAAATGTGTTTGCTGACTTAAATATGATTGTCATAAATAAATCTGTTTAATAAATGTGTTCTGTTTAAATGCAGCAGAATACACTGCCTATATTGACTGAGAAATGGAGGAAAGTCTTGGTTTTCAGAATGGGCTGTCCTCCATTATGCTGAGCGCTGTATGTGACTTATACAGCCGCACATATAATATATATTTGAAATGGTGTAAAACGTGTTCGCCAAACTCTCTTGTGCATTAATCCAGCATTTAATAATCATTTCAGAATGAGTCTGAGACACTGAAGTAGAGGAATGACAAACGCTTTAAACACAAGAATAAATCAGATTTAAACATGAAAAACAATTAATGTAAATCTAAATCATATTTAAAGACCTTTAATATAGATTTCACTAATAGTTGCAGTCTTAGTTCACTGTTTGAAAACTTTACCAGGTTGTGTTATACCAGTGGTAATCCAGTTTCAGAGCAGAACAGTGGATCTGGAGGTGTGAAAGCAGCAGAGTTAAACGCTAAAGTGAAGCTGTTTTGTGTCCTGCTGAAGGTTTGAGCTGCTCTCATATTTGTGCAGTTTCAGTTTCTTGAAAACAAATAAAAGTCTCATGATAAAGTGTGTGAAATAATCCTGATTACTCGCTCATCTAAAACAATATCTGGTAAAGGCTGAATGTGAAGGAGAGTCAGCAGTCATGAATATTGATCAGGTGTTTCTCTCCTGACAGAATAAAAGTCCCCTAATGGAGCATCAGTGTGAATGTGACTGTGGATCAGGTGATGAACACATGAAGAGAGCGGCTTTGTGTTTGTCTGAGCTCATTTAGTTTTAGTCCACAACAGAATCACAATATAAATGATGAAATCAGCTCATTTCCTGTTGTGTTTTATACATGACTTTAAGATGATCTTCTGAGCTCAAGTGTGTCTTCTTTCTCCTCACAGCAGACTTTACAGCTTGATGTGGTGTATTATGAACAATGTCTTTGCTCTGTACACTTCTACAGATGATGTCGAGTCCTTGTTGAGTGTGTGAGTGTGTGTGTTTGCTGATGCGAGGGCTCGATCAATAAGGAGAGCTGATCAGGATGTGTGTGTTCATCACTGCTGTTGACATGAGCAGAAACAGCAGTCAGCATCTTCACAACACAAAGAGATGTGTGATTGTCCAACTGTGTGATGTGGACTATTGCTGTGTTTGTAGATTGTCTGGCTGTATGGTGACAGAGGAAGGCTGTGGTTTTCTGTCTTCAGCTCTGACTTCAAACCCCTCACACCTGAGAGAGCTGGATCTGAGCTACAATCATCCAGGAGATTCAGGAGTCAAGCTGCTCTCTGAACAACTGGAGGATCCAAACTACACACTGGACAAACTCAAGTATGTGGAGCAGCACTGGCCTTGTGCTTTTACACTGAATGGCTTTAAAAAGACACTAGAAAGCTCTTTTGTGATCAGCTTCAGTTTTCTGTGAGGGTTATGGGGTGAGGACAGACAGAAGATACAGCTTGTAGAGTATTCCAGTCATGTCTATGAAGAGCAAATCATTGAGTGTGAAATGAATCTCCTCTGTAAATGTTGGAGTGTATTGGCTCAGTTACAGTGACATTAAGCGGGACACACTGTACAGTTTCAGCATTTGAGCTGAGCAGAGAAACTTCTTCCTCCATTTCTGCTGAAGAATCCTACAATATCAGGTCAGGAATAGGGTTGGGGATTGAAGATGGATTCAGATTCTGGAATCAGACACTTGGATTAATGTTCAGACTCTTGTTCTAAAATCAACATCTGGAGTCCTCTTCTCTGTGCACACATGTGTATTTTTCACTTGCTAATCTGTCAGGAACTTGGGCGCTGGCGTGCAGCTTTAATAATCTGAACATAGTTTAGAGATG